TTTGTATTTTAAAACTTGCATTTTACTAAACAGTTGAAGATATAGAAGAAAATAGAGCAGAAAAATCATCATCCTGAAATACAATATTTTGCTGCACTTTTTTCTGGTCTTTGTTTTTTACATTTATAGGAAAAAAAAAACTGAGAGACTGGAATAAAAATCAGGGTGATGATGACAAGGTGGGGGCCTTGCTGTCTCCCACCTTCTATGACATCAGAACTCAGTGTTTGAGGGATACCTGGTGACCAGAGGCCAGGAAGGAGGAGGGCACCCATCTGCCTGTCGGGTGGGGCTACCTTGTTCCACCCAGGCAGCCTGACCTGAGGCCATGGTGATCCAACAGGTGGGCAGCAGGGGGCGAGTGGCGGCCGAGCTGTTTGAAAGAAGAAGGGGCACTCGCTGTGAGGACAAGAAACAGGTGAGGTCAGACTGGATGTATGCTCCCTTCCTCCCATCTGGGCTCCCTTTGCCACTGCAGACAGACTATAAGGCCCTCAAAGTCAGAAGAGGCCTTCAGCCCGACTCTTCCTGGAGCCCGACCTGGTGGGACGCAGCATGCATGCTTCGGGGCTTCTTCCCCAAGGCCATTACTGACTGACTCTCTTATTTCATTCCCAGCACTGTCAGCAGAACTTATGCTCCAGGAGGGCTGAATTGTTTGTTTAGTTTCCTACTAGATCCCTAGTGCCTACAATAGTGCTTGGTGTGTAATAGTGGTTGAATGAATGAACAAACTGAATAAATAGGATACAGCTGAATTGTAGAGCTCCTGGAGTGTTATTAGGGCTAAAATTCAAACCTCATGAAGATTTATGTCAAAATGGGAAATGTCATCACTTACAATGCACAGCCCAGTGCTCCCACCCCCTCTCTCTTTCATGACTTACAACATGCCTGAGAGGCACTATTAAAAATCGCATTCACAGATGGATAAACCAAAGCTTAGAAAGGCAAAAAGGCCATATAGCCAGGACCCAGGATTTGAATCAGGTACATCTGATTCCAGGACTCTTAACAAGCTTACCCTACACTCCACTGCCTCCCAGATGGAGAAGTGAGGGAGGCGTGTAAAGAAGGCTGGGAAGGTCACCTAGACCTTGCACACATGGAAAGAGATAGGACTTTATTCTGAGATTAATAAGAGGCCATTGAGGGGTTTTAAGCAGAGCAATGGATGACTGATCTCTATACGTTTTCAAAAGATTTGTTCACTTGTTCATTTGATATACATGCCCCAATTCCTCCTTTGTGCTGGACCTCACAGCAAGATGGGGGCCTTGTGCGGTTCCTATCATGCTCCACCTTTTCCTAAAAAGAGTTGCATAAACACCAAACCCCAGGAAGGCTCTTTTGAGAAAAATCCCCAAAAAAGTTCTGTGGTTCAAGGAATGCTGATATTCTTGTCCCCCCAACCTTGGAGATTTACACTGCTCATTCACAGAGGCTCTGAGAAGTTCTGCAGCAAGGAATTCACTTCACTTTGTTAACTACAGCATTTCCCAAACCGATCTAAAACAGTCACAGCTTTTCTTTTTGAAAGACCTTTCAGGGGCGCCTGGGTGGCTCAGATGGTTAAGCATCTGCCTTCGGCTCAGGTCATGATCCCAGAGTCCTGGGATTGAGCCCCACATCAGGCTCCCTGCTCAGCGGGGAGCCTGCTTCTCCCTTTCCTTCTCCTGCTCAACCTGCTTGTGCTCTCTCACTCTCTCTGTCAAATAAATAAATAAAATCTTTAAAAAAAAAAAAAAGACCTTTCAGCATATGTCAAAACCCATTTTACAGATGAAGTAATTGAGGCTCAGAGAGAAGAAATGATTTGGCTCAGGCCCCAAGACAGCAGCACAAGGAGAAGAGCTAAAACTTAATCCTGCCCCTGTTTCGCCCTTTGCCCCCCCCCCCCCCGGTACAAAATACAAACCCAGCAGCAAGTGTGCTGGGGAAGACATCATCCTGTAAAGTGCATGGACAGAGGAGTTGTTAAATAGCAGAGCATTCACCACAGAACACTTAACAGCCATTATAAAGAATGAAACAGTTCTCTGTGTCTTATGCCCAGGGAATATTATTAAGAAAAGAAAAAGTGCCCTTAAGTGTACGATGCAAGGACCTTTGCACTGGGTCTACACACCTGGGCAGTCACAGCCCGCCCCCCACTCCCCGGCCAGGTCAAGCTATGGAATAGTCCTGGTGCCCCAGAAGCCTCCTTCAGGCCCTCCCAGCTCATCCCCTTCCCACATAACCATGATTCCTGACCTCTATCATCATAGATGAGTTTTGTATTTTCTTGAATTTCATGTTCATGGAATCGATGTGTACCTTTATCCCTGGCTTCTTTCGCTCATCCGTGTATCTGTAAGACTCTGCCAGATTGTTGCTTTTTAATTTATTTTTATTTTTAAAGTTCATGATGATAATAATATAGTTGCTAGTATATATAAAGAAAACTATCTGGGGAAGAGGCAAATCATGCAAATCTTTTATCTTCTTTGTGGCGGTAGCAGGTCTAACTCTTGCTTCACAAACTCGGTAAATAAGAAATGTGTTATTTCAAGGCAAATTAAATCTGGCTCAGCCTGCATCTAGTGAGTTGGGGAAAATTCAGTGTCATTCAATACTGTGTGTGCCTTAATCCTTTGTCCACTTTTGCTTGCCCTGACACTGTCACTCTCCCAACTCACATTGTCTGTTGAAAATCGGTGTCTCTGAATTCGCTGTGCTAAGGCCAGCCCAGCCACATGGCCGAACAGTGGGTGCCAGGCCCCTCCCAGACTCAGACTGCCCTTGTCTCTTCTCCCACCTCTCTAAAAGACCCCTTTCTCCTCTCTTAATCCTGGCACGTCCACCAGAATCTCCTAAATGACCTTGGACTGACGCAGGCACCAGCGAGCAATGTTGTCTCCAGGTAGCTCCTTCGCTCCATCCTGCCTCAAAACACTATGACGAGACTTGCCAGTAACGGGCCAGGCTAGCCTTCCCACTGGAGCAACCACAAAATGCACGACATCTGTAAGGCAGCCAGTCTTGGGTGAGGGCCACCAGGCAGCACAAGAGTGCCATCCCAGAGGAAAGGAACACTCGTGACAGCCTCCACTCTTTCCCAGCGGTGGCTGCACTGAGGTAGAGGCCAAGCATGGCACCGCAGTCCTGCTGAGCTGCGGGGCGGTGGGGGTGGGGGGCAGCTAAGGCACCGGACTCTGCAGGACGAGGCCCTAGAGAGGGGAGAGAGCTGCTCACCCAGGGGTTCCCCATGACTCCTTGGCAGAGGGCTGGGATGCGCATGCCAAGGGCTGGATTAGCCGCTCTCACGAGAGTGGCTGTTCTGCCCTTGAGAGCAGAGCGGAGATCCTGGAAATCCAGCAGCGCTGGAGGTTGCCGGAATTCCGGCCCAGCTAGAGCAGAGGAGCTCCATAACACTCAGGCATCCATTTGAGAGCACACATACACAGACATGGACATGCATCTATGCACACACATGAACAGACATGTATGTGTATATATACATGCACACACACATATACATACATGTATTTGGAAAAAAAGAAAACTTTAGAAGCAATGGCTAGAGGCACCTAGGTGGCTCAGTCGGTTAAGCGTCTGTCTTTGGCTCAGGTCATGATCCCAAGGTCCTGGGATCGAGTCCCACATCAGGCTCCCTGTTCAGCATGGAATCTGCTTCTCCCTCTCCCTCTGCTCCTCCCCTCTGCTTGTGTTCTCTCTCCCTCTCAAATAAATGAAATTTTTTTTAAATCTAAAAAAAAAAAAAAGAAAGCAGCAGCAGCAATGGTCAAAGTTTCCACATTAAGAAGGAAATAAGGAAGAATTAAACTCAACAATAGAAAGAAGAAACAATAAAGATAAAATCAGAACTTAATGAAATAGAAAATGAAAATAATAAATAAAATTAATAAACTTTTGCTTTGAAAAGATTTATAAAATTGGTAAATTTTTCATAGTCTATTTTTTTTAAAAAAAGAGAAAACACAGATTACCAATATCGAGAATAAAAGGGAACTATCACATGTCTACCTCCTATAGACATTAAAAGGATATGAAGATAATATGAGGAATGACTGGATGCCAGTGCATTTGCTCACCTAGGTGAAATGTAGAAACTTCTTGGACAACACAATTTACAAAAGTGACTCAAGAAGAAATAAAAAGTCCAAAAGACTACAAGCCCAAAAGATTTCACCAATAAATTCTATAAATCATGTGACCAATCTCACACAAATTCCTTCATAAAATAGAGGTGGAGGAAATGCCCCCTGACTCATTTTAAAGGGGCAACATAACCTTGACTCTAAAACTCCATAAACATATAGAAAAGAAATCTAATCTCTCCATGAATGTAGTTGAAAAGAACAATCTCCACAAACAGTAGCAAATCAAACCCAGCAATATAGAAAAAGGTGAATGCATCATGAACAAACGGCTTCCTGAAGGAACCAGGTTGGTTAGGTATTCAAGTCAATCCATGCAATCTGCCACAGGCTCAGGCAAAAAAGGGCAGCACTCAAGTCTCTCAGTGGATACAGGAAGTGCATTTCACTAATTCAGCGTTCATTCTTGGTAAAATTCTCAGAACAGTAGAAACAGAAGGAAATGTCTTCAAACTGAGGAAGGACAACAAGGAAAAAGCTACAACTACCTCTACTCACACCACGTCCCCCTAAGATACAGCACAAGATGAGGATGTTTGCTTTTGCTGCTTCTATTGGTATTTTACTAGTGATTCTAGTTAATATACAAGGCAAGCAAAAAAGCTAAAGATTTTTTGAAAGATAAAGAGTAGAAAGGATGAAGTAAAACTTCTTCCCAGACAGCATGTTTTATATACAAAATCCTAAACTCTATCAGATAAAAAAGAAAGAATTAAGTCATAAGACACAAAATCAATTGTGTTTCTATAGACTAGCAACAAACAATTGGAAAATGAAAATTTAAAAACGATACTATTTACAATAGCATCAAAATCCATAAAATACTTCAGAAAGATGAGCATGGCCTCTACACTTGAAAATGATGAAACATTGCTAAAAATAACCAAAGACAGTGTAATGGAGAGATTCACCATGATCACGGATTACAAGGTATGATATTTTAGAGACATTCTTTCTCACCAAATTGAACCACAGTTTCAATGTAATACTAATCAAAATCCCAGCAGGGTTTTTTTTATAGAAACTGAAAAGGTTGATATATACATATATATGTGAAAATGCAAAGGATCTAGGGTAATCAGAACAAATTTGAAAGGAACAAAGTTTAAAAACTCACACTATCTGATTTCAAATGTTACAATAAAGCTGTATGGAGGAGGAGCAAGATGGTGGAGGAGTAGGAGACCTGGATTTCGTCTGGTCCTGGGAATTCAGCTGGATAGGGATCAAATCATTCTGAACACCTACAAACTCAACAGGAGATCGAAGAAAAGAATAGCAACAACTCTCTGAACAGAAAAGCGACCACTTTCTGGAAGGTAGGACGTGCGGAGAAGAATCTGAGGCGATATTTGGGAGGATAGACGGTGGGGGAGGGGTCTCCCTCAGCCACTTCTGGCAAGTGATAGAGGCGCAGAGCACAAAATCGGAACTTTTAGAAGTCGGCTCCGCTGAGGGACGTTGCTCCAGTGGCTAAGCAGGGGGTGAAACCCTCATGGGACAGTGTGGTCTCAGGACCCTCGGGGTCACAGAAAGACCGGGGGTGCCTGAGTG